ATTTTTAAAATCCCAATACCCAAGCTATCCTCTAGACCAGTTAACTCAGAATCTTTGAGTACCAGAGATTATATCACTTCTGGTGGTGCCTCTGTGTCGCCAAGTTGGAGAACTACTATGCTAGACTGTTGCATTGCAAGAATGTTCTTCTGTGGCATGTTCACCCAGGCTAGGGCATGAGGTACTTCCCTTATAAAATTCTGTCTAGTAATATGTGGCCCAGACATTGACTCACTTTCTAGGAGGGGTTTTGAGGAATGGGGAGATGTTTGCCTATGAATCCTGTTACCAAGGCTCTGTAATACTGAAACGTTATTTTGTTTGATTCGTTTCCCTTCCCACAAGACTCTGGCTGGAACTGTGTTTTCCCTTTTGGCCAGGCAGACTTCTGCAGACTTGTCATTTTCTACACACTGGATCCCTGCTTTATGCCTGACCAGAGGAAAGTGGCAATGCCTGAGTCATGGCTACTGAGTGTCCTTTGGCACTCTGTGATTTCCCTGGGAGTCTCTTATCCTCCCTAGCCTTGTGGTTTCTCTGGCTTGATGAATTTTTCCATGAATGAGAAAAAAAGCATCATCAGAATATGTCAAAATATAGACTTGTTTTTCTATTGCTTAGACCAGTTATGATTTATGCTGAACAACTTCCCATTGTAGAAGATTCAATTTCACTAGTTAATGCAACATAGATGTTATAACTTCTGTTGTCTTTTATTAAATATTTTTAAAGTTATTCTTGTATTTATTTAGAAAATATTTCATGAGTATCTGTGATGCGTCAGACGTTGTGACAGGTGCTTGGGATATGAAGTTTAAAGACAGAGTCCCTCATAGACTACTTGGGGAGACAACCAAGTGCTGTGATGGAGGGATGTATGAACTGCTGTGATGACATGTAGGGAGGACACCTACCCAAACATGGGGCAGGGGTAGTGAGTGGGGAGGAAGGTCTCTGAGATATGGGTCATGTGTGATGTGTCTTTGTATCATTAGTCCCAGAACAGTAAGTGAATTCTGTTAATGTTTGGTGTTAAACACAGGCTACATTGAGCTTTGCCTTGCCTTGAAAGCACATGGAAGTTAGCCTCCCAGAGAAGAAGGATGGGTGGGAGGAGAGCAAAAGTCTGGGGCCTGCTGTGTCTAAAGGAGACCATATCCTCAGAGGGGTGTGTGAGGGTGGCTCAACAACCAGTGCTTGAGAATGACTGCAGAGCTGGCTCACAGAGATGGCGAGGGAGTGCAAGGAGAGTGGGTAGGGGTCAGATTGTGCCAGACTTTATAACTGATGCTAAGGAGTTTGCATTTCTCTGGAATCTGATGGGGTGCCATTTGAGGAGATTTAGCAGGAATTGACAGGATCATATATGCCTTTCAGAAAAATCATTTTGGTAGAATGGGGAATGAGACAGGGGCAGAGAAATCTGTAAGGAGTGATCGTGACTCCAGGGGAAGAATGATGGGAACCTAGAACCATTTAGAAAAAAAACAAACAAACTCAAATGCTTACCTTGTACCACACAACAAAATAAAATTTAGAAGCATTAAAGATGTCAATGTAAAAATAAAACAGTAGAGAGAAATATAGGAGAATTTTTTTTTATATGTTGGGGATTGAGAAAAATTTCCTTTTTTTTTTTTTTTTTTTTTTTTTTGAGACAATATCTCACTTTGTCACCAGGCTGGAGTGCATGGAGTGCAGAGGCTTGACCATAGCTCACCTTCAGCCTCAAACTGCTGGGCTCCAGGGATCCTCCTGCCTCAGCCTCCCTAGTAGCTGGGATTATGGGCGCATGCCACCATGCCCAGCTAATTTTTTTTAAAAATTTTTGTAGAGGTGGAGTTTTGCTATTTTGCCCAGGCTAGTCATGAACTTGAGAAGACCTTTTTAAGCATGAGCTCAAAGGCCTAAATATAACAAAAATAAGTATTTGACTGTGCATACTTTGATAGGTGCTAGAGAAATGTGGATTAGTAGACCTGATTTGTCTTTTAAGAGCTTAAGATATAGAGAAAGATAAGGAAACAAAATATTCCAAATGCCTTGGGCTAAGAGCTATGTTGGAGTCAAGGAAATGGTTCAGCTGGAACCTAAAGGAGGAAATGCCAGGGTTTGCTTGGAAGGAGACAGGGGAGGCTTGGCAAGGCAGAAAATGAGCCAAATCTTGATGTAGGATATGTCAGGTGGTTGAAGCAAATGAGGGAGACAGAACATTTTAAATAGAGGGGACAGCTTGTGCGAAGGTGGAAGAGGGTTCATTTGGTGTTTTTGGCGAGTAAAGTGCAAGGGGATGGACAAGACATAGGGGCAGGAAGTGCTGAAGTTGAGGTTGGACACACAGATGAGAGGCAGATACAAAGGGTCTTAATTTTATCCTATAGAACAGTGCCATCTAGTAGAGCTTTCTGTGACGGCGGAAATGCTCTGTTCTGTGCTGTCCAATATGGCAGTTACTATTGAGCATGTGAAATCTACCTAGTACAACTGAAGAGCTGAATTTTTAATTTGTGTCTAATATTAATTAAATTTAAATAACCACTGTGGCTAGTGGCTACCATATTGGACATTGAAACTATAGACAATATGGGGTCATTGAGAATTTCTTTGTAGGGAAATAGTATAAATAGAATCATATTTTAGAAAGGCAGGAAGAAAATCAAGATTTATTGAGAGCCCACTGCTTTAGATACTGTACTAGGTGCTGTCTTATGTATTGAGTCACTTAATTCTCACAACTTTAAGATATAGGGGGCATGGTATTTCCATTTTGCAGACGAGAAAGCTCAGAAAGAATAAGTTATTTGTCCAAGGTCACAAAGCCAGTAAATGAGAGAATTTTTAAATTTAATTTCCTACTCCTGGCAATGTTTTTAGTACATTTTTATTAATCAATTTTATTTTTTAGAGAATTTTTAGGTTCCCAGAAAAATTGAGTGAAAAGTACAGAGAGTTCCCATATACCCTGTGTCCCCACACATGAGGAATCTCCCCTGTTCTCAACATCCTACTCCACCGTGGCACCTTTGTTACATTCAGGGAACCTGCAGTGACGTGTATCCACGTCATTAGCAGTATTATACAGAATGGTTAGTTTCACTGCCCTGAGAATCCTCTGTGCTCTGCCTGTTCATCCCTCCCCACCCCCCAAACCCTGGAAAGGACTCATCTTTTACTGTCTGCATAGTTTTGCCTTTTCCAGGATGTCATATAGTTGGAATCATATCATATGTAGCCTTTCAGATTGGCTTCTTTCGCTAAGTAACGTGCCTATTTAAGTTTGCTTTGTGTCTTTTCATGGCTTGATATTAAATAGTTCATTTCGTTTTAGTGCTGAATAATATTCCATTGTCTAGATGTACCACAGTTTATTTATCCATTCACCTGCTGAAGAACATCTTGGTTGCTTCCAAGTTTTGGCCGTTATGAATAAAGCTGCTGTGAATGTCCATGTGCAGGTTTTTGTGTGAATGTAAGTTTTCAGTTCATTTGGGTAAATACCAAGGAGTGCAATTGCTGGATTGTATGGTTAGAGCAGTGGCCCCCAACCTTTTAGGCACCAGGGACTGGTTTCATGGAAGACAGTTTTTCCATGGATGGGGTCGGGGGGAGGGGAGAAGGCGGAGCTGGGTGGGGGAAGGCAGAGCTCTGTGGTATGATCCCTAACAGGCCACAGACCAGTACCAGTCCATGGCCCAGGAGTTGGGGATTGCAGGGTTACAGTATGTTTAGTTTTGTAAAAAACTGCCACTGCCATATGTCTTCCTAAGAAGCTGCACCATTTTGCATTCCCATCAGCAATGAATGAAAGTTCCTGTTTTTGCACATCCTTACCAGTGTTCGGTATTGTCAGTGTTTTGGAGTTTGTTCATTAATAGATTTAAGTGATATCTTGCTGTTGTCTTAATTTGCAATTCCCTGATGACATGGTACTAAACGTCTTTTCATATGCTTTTTTGCCATCTTTTTTATCTTTTTTTGTGAAGTTTCTGTTCAGGTGTTTTGCCAATTTTTTAATTGGGTTTGTTTTCTTATTGTTATTTATTTATATTTTATATCTAAAATAAACCTAAGAGGATCACCTTATTAGAAAAGGAAAAAAACATCCCTTGATAGCCAAGCTGGGAGCTGACCTGCTCACAGCTGGGCCCTGGTGTTCTCACATTGAACATAAGCAATTTTACCAAACGTGAACGTTAGACAAGGCCACTCTGTGACTGTGATGATATGAGGCAAAAACAACCTACTCTGTAATCATCCTTAAACACAGACAAAAGCAAGAACATGGTACAAACCACGAAAATGACCAACATCCCCCTCTCTATGCAAACATGATTACTGTTGCTTTTTTACCAATTGCAGATTTAGCATTGCTCCATTCCTAATGCCTCCTGGATAAAAATTAAGATACTCAGTGATAAAATTGCCTCCACTTTTGTGATAGTCCCAAATCCAGAAGCAACACCACCTTTTTCTGAAACCTCCCAAACAGTACTAGGGGGTTTCCCAGAATGCAGAGCTGTCAGTAAGTACTAACATTGGGAAATTCCTAGGCAAACCTGATCACCCTGGTCTCTGAAATAACATAATACAAGCCTAAATATTTTAACCCACTCCTCCCAACGCCCTCTTACTGAGTTGCCTCCCAGTACCCCATGGCATTTGGTCTCACTTGTTGCAGACAGTTCCAATAAACCTAACCTTGTTTAATTGCAGGTTGGTCCTCGTGATCTTTGGTGATGGGCAAAGATCAATAAACAAAATCAAAACAAAACAAATACTACGGCAATGATTTTAGTAGGTCACTCCTTAACAGTGATGTTTTAAATGATTAATTTGCCTCTAGCAATAAACAGTAAAAAATTACATAACTTACGGGGAAGCCAAATAGCATCATCATCTTATCAGAAAAGAAAAATGTCCAGAAAATATTGCGATGCCATGATAGGAAGGACTTTGTTTTGTTGTCTTTGTAACAATTTCCCTTCCTTTCTCTCTCTCAGGGATCATGTCGGACCACCAGTTTGGTAACCAATTTATGTGCAGCGTGGTGGCCTCTCACGTGAGTCACCTGCCCACAACGAACCTCAGCTTCGTCTGGATTGCTCCCCCAGCGGGCACAGGCTGTGTGAATTTCATGTAAGTACCCAAGCCTCTGCGACAAACACAGAAGGCAAACACTTCCAACCTCTCACAAGGTTACATACAGGGTAACTGCTTAAATGTATTATTTTGACAGGTTTGACCTTAATTAAAGCCACCAATTTTGGTGTCAAAAAAGTTCAAAACTGTTTTTTTTAAAGTAACTTGTGTTTGCATATTTATTTATGCCTCCAAAGTTTTGAATTGGATTTTAGCTAACAAAAACACAACAAGATAAAAGTAAGTGAATGGGGGGTGGGGGTGGAGAGTAGAGGGAAGTTGTTCAAAGGGTACCAAGTTTCAGTTAGGAGAAATAAGTTTAGAGATGTATTGTACAACATGGTAACTCTAGTTAATAATAATGTATTATATATTTCAAAATTTAAACATTGTCATTGCAAAAAAGTGGTAAGTATGTGAAGCGATGACTATGTTAATTTGCTTGTTTTAATCATGCCACAGTGTAAACATACATCGAAATATCCCATTGTACTCCATAAATATATCTATAATTATTATCTGTCAATTTTAAAAGATACAAATAATTGAAGAAATCAAGGCAATTGGAAAACGAGTGTTCAAAAAATAAGATGAAAACAGGTACAAAAAATGCTATAAGGCTCCAACCACTTTTTGAAAGAAGACCACAAATTTAGCTTTGAGTGTTCCAGCCATTAGTGCCAATCGGGAAGTGTGATTGGTTAGGAGATTCATGGTGGCCAGAAGTCAGGTGCTCTGTAGAAACCTAACGACTGTCTCATGTGCTTCTTTAAGAGGAAAGTGGGGAATGTAGTGAGCGATGCCCTCAGCAGCATCCTTAGGTAAACACTGCACTATGGCTGCACTTGTGACATCTCTCAATATAGACCATATGCTGCACCTGCCCAGAGTCACCGCTCCTCATCCTTCTTATTCAGCTTTTTTCATAACTTTTCTTTTTTTACCTCTAACACATGATATCCTTCACTTATTTAATTACATACATTGTTAATCATTTGTTTCTTCTCACTAAAATGCAAGCCCCATGAAGGCAAGAATTTTTTCTGTTTTTGTTGACTGATTTGCCACAACTGTCTAGAACAGTCCCTGGCACACAGTAAGCACTTACTAAATATTCATTCAATGGATGAGTAGGCCAAGGGTAGAATGTCTAAGGCAGTGCAGAAACAACTGTTCTATAGGCAGTCAAGCAAAATAGAGCTGGAAGGCATCCTGAATGATTTTCTCTTCCAACCTCCTGCTCAGGCAACAAAATCCTATATAGCCTGTGTACTCCAAAATGTACCACTGCCTTTTCTTCCCTCTGGATAACACACAGTTCAGTGCCAGGGGTTTTTATGGCTCCCACATCACTGATTATATATTCTTTCTGCCCTTCCTCTGGGTTACCCAGGCTGCCAACATCAGATTCATCCCACATAGCTGGTTGACATTTAATCCCATCATTTTCTCCCTCAGAAAGTTTTTTTATACCTTTTCTTTCTAGTATCTCTTTCTAAGATGATTGCAGTAGCTTTCTAACTGATCTGCTCACCTCCAGCCTATTTTTCCTCTAGTCCATCTTACATATTTGTTGTCCAGTTAATCTTCTGAAGGTATTACCTTGCTCTCTCAAAATTTGGCTAAGCCTAAAACTCCTTTTGAAGACCAGACCTTCGGCATGGGTTTGAAGGCCCTTCCCAATATTGCTGTTTGTCATCTCTCTTATCCCCTGTAGCACACGCCTCCTGATAAAGCACGAACTACAGGACTTCCCACCGTTCCCTAAACATTCTGTGACTTTCTCTCTTTCTCTATGCATTCCCTTGGCCTGGAATGCTTTTTTTCTGTCAATCTCAATTGTTAAAATCTTACCTATTCTTCAATACCCATTTAAAATATCAACTCTCTGTAAAACCTGCCATGGTATCAACAACAAAAGGGATGTGTATTGTCACATTTTGCTTGTTACTCTAGTATAGAGCTGATTGTATTTTACTGTGTACTTGAGTCAATTTCTTTTCAACTAGGTTAGATTGGACAGGGACAAATTCTTATTTCTTTTTGAATCTCCCATATTTGGTACAGTGTCTCATACATAGATGTCAGGGAAAATGTCCCCTGAATTATATGGTGTTCAGTGTTGTCATTCCTTTAGTTAGTTTCATAGTGATCCCTGACTCTTTTTTTTGTAGTTTCTTTTACTTATATTGGCACTTGCAAAGATAATTTAAATTCTTGCCATACATAACTTTTTAATTTAAAATAAGAATGACTTTTTTGAAAGATAAAACACAAAGTAAATCTATGTCAGCAATATAGAACTGCCTCCTTCCAAATAGAGATGGGTGTTTAGTTAAGTCTGTTTAAAAATAATAATTTGATGGCTTATGATCTCACTGTTTCTGGGATATGAAACTCTTTTTTTCTCAGGAAGAACTTAGGTATTTTAAGTCTTAACTCTAGTGTTTTCTTAGCAGTTGGTCAGAAAAATGCAGTTTGGTCAAAAGTAATTTTTCCACACTGCAAAGAAGTTTACACACCCTCACTTGTATTTCCCAGTAAAATTTTGCTGATATAATTTGCACTTTTTAACATTCTTGACAAACAGGTTTAAGTCTATTTATTGTAAGCCATGACAATGTTGAATGTTAAGCTGCTTCCTACCTTGGTAAAATGGTTTTGTTGATCTCTTTTCCTGATCAGTTTGTGAGAGAGTACAGGAAAAGTGAGGATTGAACATGGACCACTGAAACAATTTATTTGAAAGATTCTCAATGAGAGTCTTGCAATTTCTTACCTTTATTCCTACTCAGTATTTATTGTGTGTTGAGTAGAGTGACATATAAGTTAGTATTTGTAATTAGTAAGTGCCCAGCAATACTTGAAGGTGATTGCTAATATTTAACATGAATTTTAAATATTAAAGAAAAATAAAATCACACAAAAACCTATGACATTTGAAGGTAAATATACCACGATTCTCTTTTCTTATTAACCTTGTAAGTTAAATTGTTCACTTTTTAAGGAGAAAAGGATAGAAATTAAACTCCAGCTATGCTTATATGCTTTTGTGATATATTCTGTGTAACTTTTTTATGTCATTAGTTAATTCATATCATTATTTAATTTTCAACATACTTGTTTTCTTTTTCTAATTGGATTTTAAATCCCCCCAAGGTCAGGGCCTGTGTGTATTTTTATATACCTAACAGTTCCTAACACTGAACTATATAGACAATTAAAGCCTCTCAGTAAATATTTTTTAATAGCTAATGATGATATTTTACTTCATTGATTCTAAGACACAGATTTTCTTTTTTACATTATGGGATCTCAGAAATAGGGTTGCATTTTACATTTGATGGCATCCTATAGTTATAATTGGCCACATTTGCTTTACTTCTTAATATTTTACAGTTGATGGTGTGTTGTATTTGAAAAAAATCCAGCAACTAACATTTGTCATTTACCCATGTACATGGTCTTCCTAAAGCTGGCCATAGAATTGACACTATACCCAATTCTATTATATAATCCCATATTAGTAAGTTAATGTATGATACAAACTCTGATTTTAAAACCCAACTACCTATTTAAAAATCTTTTTTTAAAAAAAATCCTATACCAAGAATTATGGAACATTTGAACTGAAATTCAAGACAATTATATATATATATATGTTCTGTGTGCCTTTCCCAGCGAAGAGTAAGCGGCACGCTGTCTGAATAAACCATGTTTTATTGGTTAACCACTTAGCCACATGGTCATTTCAACTGTCTGTTTACTGACTTCCTTGTTAAAAATAATCAAGTGAGAGACATAGAGGAGAGGATGCCATGAGGATGAAATGCTAGCTGTACTGGTACAGATGTAGAAAATGGGCTAGAGTTTTTATCATTATTTTTATGACACCTGTTGATAGCTTTGATGTTTTAAATTATAATTTTGCTTTAATATTTGCTTAGAATCCACATCTTATGAAAGTACAGTTTGTCTTTACTTTTATATTTGATTGCAGTCTTCAGTGACTAGTATACTTCAAGTTATAAAAGGTACTTAATTATCCAAACTTCTTGGATATAAATCCCTTTCCCCTAAAAAATCCCAAGGAGGGGAGAGAGAGAGAGAGGGAGGGAGGGAGAGGCACAAAGAAGAAGGAAGAGGAAGAGGAGGAGGGGAAGAGGGGCAAAGGTAGGGACAGGGGGAAGGAGGGAAGGAGAGAAGGAAGGAGGAAAGGAAGGAAGGATCAAAAGAAGGAAGTGAGGAATTCTCTAAGCCATCTAACTCTAAAAGTGAGAAACTACCAGGGAAAGGGAGTTGTAAAGTAGCAACTACAATATTAACGATGTTTTTGAAAATTTACATTGCTCCCGTCACGGTTCTTAATAGTTTACTTCTTTTAATCTATTTAATTCTCACAGTGATTCTGTAAAGTAGGTACTGTTATTATCTCAGTTTACAGATGGGGGAACTGAAGGACAGAGATGTTAAATAACTTGCTTAAGGTAACTTACCTAGTGAGCGACACAATCTGGTTTCAAAGCAGGTGATTTTTGCCACTTCGCTACAGTTGCCCTTAAAATGATGACTTGTCCATTTTGTTGTGGTAAAATACACGCAATATTGATACAATGAAAATTAAATAGAGTTTGCAGTGTAGTATAAGAATCTCTCTACTTTAAGTGGCCAACATGTGTTTTCTATGTACATTTTGAAATCTGTCTCTACATGGGATATAATATCTGTCTAATTCATTTGAATATTGAAAGACACCACTGTAAAATTCTGAAATGTGGAGAACACACTCGACTAAGGTGTCAGACATGAGTTTGATCTTGATATGTATGATGTAGGTCCATTCTTTGATGTTGATTTTATGCCATCCCTTGTCACAAGGGTACTTCCTATAGGTAATGTGTGAATTAGAGGCAAAATTCGTCACAATTAGATTTAAGTTTAACTGGACAGAGATACTGTCATAATATTAGCATAAAAATGGAACATTAAAGAAGATC